CAAGGAAATTATCAAAAACAGTGGCACAGCATCATAATGTGGCACGACACTAATTCGATAATCTCAAACTTTACATACTTCAGTCAAACTTCCTGCCCCCTAGAGACAGAAAGTATGCAGAGCCATACCTTGTTCACAAGTTCAATACACTCCAGCCAGAAGGAATAAACATTTCTAAAGGGGCTTTGAATCCATTCAGTATGGTGCATACACAAAGAAAATCAATGAGAGTTATAGCCGTGTCATGCAGTCATTTGGTATGCCATAGAACTGGTGGTCTATTGACTTCCCAACGCGCATTCGTGTCCCCTCCACCTGTCTCCTGCTCTACACTCCCCCTCAGTCACCTCACAAAGCTGACACAGGCAGCGTCTGCTAGCGAGTTTCTTGATTGAAAAGCGGAACCGCTCGCGCTGCACAACCGTTCACTGGCCACCACATATATATAGGCACTTGATAATCTCGATGACATCTATGATTTTCCAGACATATGGCGAATGACCTGGACAAAACTATACTAGGCACTTTTTGTTGGATACTTCCGCTACAGTGCTCCTGTTCTCTCCCGTGTTTATGCATCTGCTGCACTTACACTTAAAGGAGCTCAGGTGCCCTAAGGTGCTCAGGTGCTCTAAGAATTTGCTTAGGAGCACCTTGATGTACTTCTACATGGGGCACTATTGCAGAAGCACATGCTTGTCGAGCTCGTGGGTATCTTCAACACAAGCCACTGCGAGTACATCTGAGGTCACTGACAAGGCATCGAGACTATCCACTGGCAGAGGTTTTTAATACACGACCTAATGCTGCATACTCAGAAGCTGTTATGGCGCACTGAGATACGCTGCCTTCACATCATGCACCACGTGAAATATCCGACATACCGCTCTGGACGATGCCTAAGCCGATCATGTGACTTTCGATCTCTGGAATAACAAAAAGTAAAAAATACCAACTGCTGGACTTGAGCATTTCGCTTTGTTGTATATTGCCTATATCTAAGGATAAACAGTGCACATTTTTGCTGATGGCTCTCTCACGCAGACCTCTTCAGCAGCATCTTTCACTATGCCTCATGCAACGCTTCAAAATAGCACGCCGGACATCATCTACAGCCACTGAGCTGACTGGCGTCTGACAAGCTGCGTGCTACATTTTACAGCAGAGTCCTGCGAAATGGACATTATTTTGCGACTCCAAGCCGGCACTTCAGCTAATTAGAAGTTACATGAAGCAAGAAACTGCATGCAGTCCTCTGATGTGTGACGTAATGAATGTCTCGAATTAGGCATTTAAATCTGAACATACCGTTGCGTTGCAATGGATTCCCAGTCACTGTGGCATAGCTGAGAATGAAGAGACTGATGCAGAAGCGAAAATGGCGCACACTTGTGGGAAAATGATGTCAATTCATTTTTCCCGGTATGACATCAACGCCTTGCTGTCTAAAGTTATGAAAATATCTATGACATGACTATGAAGTGGCGCTGATTATCGCCACGAGAGCATTTTTTGTGTTGCACATACGCAACGATACCTTTGCAAGATTGGTCAGGAGAAATCAGCGTGTCAGTGTGTGTCACACGTGAGGACTATTAATCACATTCTGTGTGTGTGCCCACAATATGCCGTCAAAGGACAATCACTAAAGCACCTCACAAATCGCCTAGACTGCCGACCCTTTTCCGAAGAGAAGCTTCTGGGTGCTTGGGAATGTGTAGGTCAGATCCAATGCAGATTAAAGGGCTTGCTCATATTTCTAAGCAAGACAGGTTATGATCCCGTCTTTGGAAACTTTTGTGCGTGTTCTACACCAAATGGGACGGTGTGTGCAGTGACTTATTGCGCTATATCACAATCAACCCTCATCATGCCCTCCTCTTTCTCTTTCTTTTTGCCTTACCCCCGTGAGGAGTAGCAGGCTAGAAACTCGCTTTCCAGGCTGACATCGCCTCCTTCTTCTCATTAAACACCTTCTTCTTTTTTTAGGCATTGAATCTTGACCTCCAAGGTAGTGCCGGTGGAAGATTTCTCCTGCGTGTTGTTAAACAATAAAAATTCGCAGCATGTGCGTTAACTAGAAGCAAACTGTGGGTCCTTGTGCCCAATCTGAGTCCTCTGTCTCTTACTGCCCATTAAGTGATTGCATGTTCCAGTAGGAAACACCGGTCCATCACTGCGTGCTCTGCGCCGGCCAAGGTTTCCAGTGCAACACCGCAATGAGCGTCAGCGTCAACGCCGCCGCCAGTGTAAGCGTTAGCGCTCGCTGCTTCGCATCTACACATGGTTCCATTTAGCGGGACATCATGCAATTTTTTTATTCACAAAATGCCGTTCCCTCTTCACTCACACAATTCGTCACAGCGTTGCCCCTTCCCTCACTCCATATTCACAGCTGCCCTCTCCTCCTCCTTTGTTAGGATTATGTGCTACAAAATGCTTAAACCTGAATAAGCATGTTAAGACTGGTGGAACCTAAATTATGTGCTACAAAATGCTTAAGACCTGCATGAGCAATTTTTTACGTTGCTCATTCAGGTTTTAATCATTTTGTAGCACATAATTTTTGGCATTGCCCAACAAACAGTGTCATCCATAAACCACAGCGTAGTGATATATACCCAGCTGATTCTCAATGTAGGCCTTTTGCGGTCTAGAATGCTTAATGCTACCTGTGAATGTGTACCGAATAACTGTGAAAAGGTTGAGCCTCTTTCAATGACACTTACCTACAAACCACAGAGGTGAAAGACAGGAATTTTTACATCATAGGAATTTTCGCACCATACTAGATATGTACAAGCCATCCCAGCAACAAGTAGCTTCATGTTGAATTGGTGTGACAACTCTTGCAACACCTATACCTGAGACTGGGGACTGCACCAAATGGGTTAGACCTATTCTGTTGAGAGAATGTTGTTTCACAGCTCAGCACTCCTTTCTAATGTGGCCATCCCAGGTCCAAAGTAGTCCTTTTCGGTTTACCATTGTTATACGAGGTCTGTTGAAAAAGTATCCGAATTTTGGTGGAAGAAAAAGAACTGGCATAATTGGAGCGTTGTAGACCTAACCCTCCTCAAAGTAGTCTCCTTGGGACTTCACACTTTTCCCGGTGGTGCTGCCACTGTTGGAAGCACTTTGAGAAAGCCTTTTTCGGAATAGGGTTTAGCTCAGCTGTCGGTGCAGCCATAATGTCCTCTCTTGTCTGAAATCACTTCCATTTCAATGTGGTCTTGAGTTTGGGAAACAGAAAGAAGTGGCAGGGGGCCATGTCAGGAAAGTAAGGCGCCTATTGAACTACAGGAGTCCGACTTTTCACCAAAAAAGTCTAAATTAAGTGTGAGGAATGTGCAGGAGCATCGTTGTGATAGATGCACCAGTTTCCTGTTGACCACAACACAACTTAGGTCTCTTGTGCCGCACAGCATCATGTAGATGATGGAGGACATGCCTATAGCACTCACTGGTGATTGTTTGACCCTGTGATGGGTACTTATGGTGTACCTCAGCGCCAGAGTCAAAGAAAGCACTCGGCATCACTTTGACATTGCTGTGCCTTCTTTGGTCTTGGTGATGTGGAATGCTTCTACTGTAACAATAGGGATTTGGTTTCCGAGTTGTGCCCGTACACCCAAGACTCATCACCAGTGATAATGGTGTTCATGAAGTTAGGGTGACTGCTTGTGAAATCCAGCATGTCTTGTGAGAGTTCAATTCGAAGTTGCTTTTGCTGCATCGTGAGCAGTTTCAGCCCGAATTTCGCCACCACTCCCTTTATGGCCAAATCTTTGGTCATGATAGATTGTGCAGAGAAAGTGCTCACGCCAACCTCTTCTACAATTTCCTGAATAGTCATACAACGATCCCGCATCACCACAGCGTTCACTTAGGCAATGATCTGGTCATTTGGGCATGTTGATGGCCGACCGGAGCGTGTCTCGCTCTCCACCAATGTGCGGCCATCTTTAAACTGGTTGTGCCACTCCTTAATCTGTGTGCAGCTCGTAGCGTCATTACCAAAAAATGTCTTAATCTTCCCAAAGGTTCAAACTTGGCTGTCACCCAGTTTCTGGCAAAACTTGATGCAGTAGTGCTGCTCCAGTCGCTCCGTCATTTTCCTTGCCATGAAAAAACAATGAGAGCACTATGCACTACCTCACTCAAATGCTGCGTCCCAGCGACTGGCGCTATTGGCAGGCAGGAAAAAATTCACTCATGTGCACGAAGGTTCAATAATAGCGAAAGTTGGGGTAGTTGGTGATTCATACTTGGGAAGTAAAAACAACGCAAAAATATAGACAAGGACAGAAGAAGATACAAGAAAGCGTGGTTTCATTTCTTCCTCAGCACGGTGTCGTCTCTTCCTTTGTCCTTGTCTACATTTTTGCGCTGTTTTTACTTCCCAAGTATGAAGGTTCCAGGTTGGCTAATGCAAGCGCGCTTGTTTTAAACCTATCAGGTGCTTCAGATACGAGGTCTAACAGACCTCGTATTGTCTTTCACAATCGCATACCATTCCAGGCCTGACCGATATAACGATTCTGACAACTATTAAAACGAACAAACCTAAACGTAGCTACCTAACAGTAGAAAACCTGCACTTTTGTGTTGATTATATATAAATAATGAAGTAAACACAACAGAATCATGAGTATCCTCTTTTTTTTTTTTTTTTTAACCCACACTGTTACTCTGCAAACAAAGCCGCCCCAGCACTTCACAACCATCTAAGAATTCAGAACAAGTGTTGAAGACACAGTAACTGCATCACAACTGCGCTATCAGAAAGATAGGACAATTGTGATGCAACTGCGCTATCCTGCCTAAGGATGCCAACAACTGCCTAAAGATGCCAACATAGAACACCAATGCTGGGACATCGCAAAAGTTAGCCGAAGTGGCTAGCTAGTACACAAAATACATATTTCAAATAAAATACCATGTGGCATTCGTCGGTACATTTTTAGGCAGTCACTAACTTGTGTCAAAGGATGACTTACACTTGCAGTGGTCGTACTGTGTATCAAAAAGCACAGCTATCCTGGTATGTGGGTCAGGAAAGACACTACGCAGTCCCAGCTCCAGTCCCTCAGTGGTGCACGGTGACCTTCCCAAGATGAAGAGCACAGGAAGTCTCGATGGCACACTTAGGCAGGAGTGGCCATAATGGACAATGGCATCGGCTGCGACATGCTCTGCAGCGACTTCGTCCACACAGCAACTGGAATCGCACATACTCGTAAAGTCAGAAACTGGCCGAAGGGGCTGATTATTACAGTAATTATTTCTTTTACCACCAGGGCTTGCACATCGTAGAAGGGAGTGCCATATTACATATGAAAGAATAGAAACAGCACTTGATACAAAATAAAAGAATGAAACTTGAACAATTCACAACATTAGTCAAAACAGATCAATATCAGATATGTGAACAAAATGTGTAGCAGTAGTGATAATGCAAGTAGTACATGCAGGACCAAACCAAAGAACAAAAGCAACAAGTAAAAAAGAAGGAAACATGATATATATCATAAGCAGGATGAAACAGTGCCAAGCATATTTTGCAAAAAAACCCTAAAGCGCGATGTGTTGGTAAGCATCATCATCCTCGTCAACCTGACTACGTCCACTGCAGGCCGTCAACTCTCTCTGTGCTTGCTGCTGCCATTTTATACGCGCAAACTTCTTAATCTCATCTGCCCACCTAACTTTCTGTCTCCCCTTCACCTGCTTGCCTTCTCTGGGAGTCCAGTCTGTGATCTTTAATGACCAGCTGTTATCTTGCCTTCGCGCTATGTGTCCTACATATGACCATTTTTTCTTCTTGATTTCGACTAAGACGTCCTTAAAACCCGTTTGTTTTCTGATACACTCTGCTCTTTTCTTGTCTCTTAGGGTTACACCTATCATTTTACTTTCCTCTGCTTGCTGTATTGTCCTCAAGTTGAGTTCTCTTAGTAAGCCTCCAGGTTTCTGCTTCATAGGTAAGTACCAGTAAGATACAACTGTTATATACCTTCTTCTTGAGGGATAGTGGCAATCTACCTATCATGATTTGAGAATGCTTGCCAAATGTGCTCCACCCCTTTCTAATTTTTCTAGTGTATTGGTAATAGTAGTAGCAAATTGTGACAATACAAATCACTAGGATGTGGTTCTTGGAATGAAGGCACGCGAATATGTTACAATTCTGCAGCAAAAAACATTAACTTTTTGTAGGTGGTCAGTTCTAAGTGATATGAACAAAAGAAATAAAAAGAACTGTTCACGAAGGTTATTTTTGTGTTAATAAAATTTATGAAAGACTGAACCGGGCTGTTTCATGCCGAACAGTGACTTCGGAAAAGTTAGGCTTGGACTTCATTAGAGTAACACTGGCCGTGCAGATTTAACTGGATAACATAAAGTGAATTGAATGATTCTGAATTGCTTCGAGTTCATGTGCTAGCGTAGTGCCACCTAGATTGCAGACTGATCATGTGTACTCAGGAGATGAACTAATGCAATTAGTGTAGAGAAGCTTTTTAAGGGATGAGTGTGCCCCCATGTAGAAGTTTCTTAAAAAATACCCAAGTGATTAGTTAGCCTTGGCGATGAAATACTCCAAACGATTGTTCCATGACGTTATTGGAACACCTAGATATTTGTAAGATGAAACAGCCTCGTGGTAGGTATCGTTAATTTAAGATGATATTGTTGACATACAAGTGAGATAAGGCACAAACACACTGCTTGCCATTATGAGATGTTCAGTTCTATGTTTCATAACTGACACCATGTTATCTAAACCCATCCGTAGCAAGGTAACACTGTCTTGGTTAGTTATAGTTCGGTAAATTATGCAGTCACTTGCAAACAGCCATATCTTTAATGAAATGTTAGTTGGAAAGTCGTTCATGAAAATTAAGAACAGCAAGCGTGCCAACACAGAGCCTTGGGGAACACTGGACAGCACTGGATAACAACAACCACAAAAAATGTATCAGGATAGCTTTATCCATTATGATATGTTCAGTTCCATGTTTCATAACTGACACCATGTTATCTAAACACATCCGTAGCAAGGTAACACTGCCTTGGTTAGTTATAGTTTGGTAAATTATGCAGTCACCTGCAAACAGCCATATCTTTAATGAAATGTTAGTTGGAAAGTCGTTCATGAAAATTAAGAACAGCAAGTGTGCCAACACAGAGCCTTGGGGAACACTGGACAGCACTGGCTGGAGGGGTGAATCAACAGTGTCAGCAGAAACAAACTGTGTTAGGTTAGAAAGAAAAGCTCAAGTCCAGTTAAGCATGTTTGTATCTAGATTTAAATGTTTCAGCTTAATAACTAATATTAATGAGGACCAGCAGACAATGATGCCAAGAGAAGAACTATAGGGGATGTTATTAGAAGTAAATGCAATGCAAATGTGAAGAGAGTAAAGTGGACAAAACAATAACTTGGCATTGGCAGGATCCAAACCTGCAACCTCGAAATAATACATAATGCTCTGTCACTGAGCTATGGTGGCCGTGATATCTACTTCCACTCTATAGGATATACATGTGAAAATTAAATGTGGAAGCTCCAGTCAGCACTGCAAGGTGCCATTGCGGCGAGTGTTGAACACTCTTTTTACCTTTTTGGATTCATGTAGTACTTGATCTTATTATGAGCTGGCAGCTGACCAGTAATCCCTCATATACTTCCTGAAGGCACCAAGTCTGAAAGAATGAGACAATCGTGCTGCGTGAGACGAACAGACAAAAAGAGTGTTCCACACTCACCGCAATGGCAACAATCAGCGCTGACAAATGCTCCCACGTATAAATGCACATATATACCCTAAAAAGTGGATGGACGGGGAGATGACCCCCACCGTAACTCAGTGGTAGCGCTTTTTAAACTTGAACTTGATTTTTACACCTGACCCTGTGTGCTGGCTATATGAACCTTGAACTCAACACCCTCTTTTATCCTTTGACTCTTCCCATTCTAAGTTATTTAAGTAAATCTTTACTAACCAGACTCTTCCCATTCTAAGTTATTTAAGCAAATCATTACTAACCTTTGTTTCATCAATTCAGCAATGTGCTCGCTTGGGCTAGTTGGTATTCTATTGAGCTGTTAAGTCGTGCAAACTTCAAGGCCCTGAGAAAAAGACAGTGCCGCGACACACAAGTGCTCATTTTCAACTGAATTTATATAGAAGAAACTCATGAAATATATAGGTAACCGCACACCTGCGCAGCTTCACAACCTCAAAACCACGACATTCCGAAGGGACAAGTTTCAGTTGAACAACTTGCGTGTCGAACTCTATTTGCCTATCGTCCCTGCAGTTTGCGCTACTTTACAGTTCATCGATTCCCTTAGAAAATCATGTCACCATGCGAAGCAGCTTTGCAGCTCAAACTGAGTGGCTTTTGAGTGCTGGGTACCCAGCTATCCTACTATCTTCTATAGCTGAGCTATTAAAACAGATGAAGAAAGACTGCAACTCTAAGGCTCACCTGGAACCTAAGGACCATAAAAGACCCGTAGTTTTATCTTACGTGCACGATGTTTCCCACTGACTAAAAAAGATAGGCGAGAAAGCTAGCCTGAAAGTAGTGTTTTCGGCACCGGACAAGTTACAGTGGCTTTGCAAAGCAGTTAATCTCCTGCAATCACACGCTGGTGCCTGCTCAACCAAAGACAAAATATGGTTTATGCCATGTGAAAGCGCTGTTGTTTACTCAATACCACTCTCATGTGGTAAAAGGTATACTGTCCAAATGGGATGCTGCCTTAATGAAAGGCTACAAGAGCATCATTACAATGTGCAAAAAGCGATTCAGGGACACATTGGAGTTTACTGCCATAATTGTGGATGCTTCCCTTTCTTTGACCAATGCGTAGTGATAAGAAAGCACCCATCACAAATGACTCGAGAAATAATTAAAGTGCACTGTATAGCAAGAGCTGGCAACGCATGTGTCAGTCCCCATTTGTTGGCTTTATCTGGACATGAATCTTCCTTCCTTAATTTGGTGAACCGTCTATGAATCTTTGATATGTGACATTACGACGGTGGTGTCTAATCTTGGCGATACATTCAGGTAATCTTTGTTCTTTGGAGATGGAAGTGTACATATATGATACAATTTGCAACTAAAGCTCAGTTGAAAGTTAGTGCTCTGTCCTCCTTTGTCGGTTTCCTCAACCATTTCTTCTCAATTACCATAATGTGCTACACCAGTTCAAGTATCTCCTGAAGATGTCTGCAGAAAAGAGAAGAGCAATGGCCTAATTGCATACGCATGCATGTGTATACGATTTCCTTTACCAAGTGGTGCAACAGCCCTGGCTCAGCGACAACTATTTGTTGCCAGCAAAGATGTGGCAAGTAACTTTATAAGACAGATGCTTGGGCTAGTTGGTGATTGGGAATCAACATATTTGCACAGCGCAAGACTACGAGTAGTTATGATGTAACTACAGACGAAGAGACATAGAGAGAAAGAGTGCTGACTTCAACTGAAAGTTTATTTACGAAAACGCTGGAAATATATACTCATGACAAAACATCACTGCGCAATTGCGCAACCTATTGCATCATGGTAAAGCAATCATCATCTCATTATATCGATACAACACCACACCTCAGCGCAAATTCACAATTTATTGTGTCAAAGCCAGAAACTCGATTTCTTTTTTAGTTAAAGCAAGCGAAGGCATGCTGATACATCAATCACCCAGCATTTGCATTTGATTGACCTTAATAATCTCTTGTGTTAGCTGCTGACAGTGTTTGGCTACAACAGTGCACTTTTAGAATTCCGGTCTGCAACCACAATCTCTACAATGGATACCCAAATGACCTTGCACAGCTGAGTATACGTTATAATGATGCTCCTTTAAATGCTCATTCTGGCACCGGCCCATTTGTCCAACATACATCTTGCCGCATGACAATGGGAGCAAACAGACGATGGCTATCACACATGCTATGAATAGCCTTTTATGTTTGATTCTGCAGCAGCTCCTTCGTGCGGACTGTGCATTCACCCATTTGCAGAGCGCTGAAAGCTTTTCTGGGGCAGAGAAAACAACCTTCACATTTACATATCACCTATCTTTTTCAAGTTCTGCGAAAATCTATGTAGATAGAGAATCACAGCCACGCGCTTTGAGCTACTAGCCACGCAGTTCACTGGTGCTTCTCGACCCTGTTTAATTGTCCTAAGCAACTT